CACAACAACACTGACGGTGAATTTAGCAGATTACAAAAAGTCAATTTATTTAACCAAATAGGAAACAACTGAAAATGTGAAGGTGTTGGATCCTCTGTTTCCTCCAATGTGATGGTAAAGACACAGATTATAATCAAATTATAAAACAACAGTATAATAAACCAACTGATAGGCAAGGCAAGGCAAGGCAAGTTTATTTATATAGCACTTTTCAACACAAGGCAATTCAAAGTGCTTCACAAAAAATGAAAGACATTAAGAAAATGGCCTTTAAAATCAGTAATTAAAAAGAAAAGTTAGTAAAATAAACATTAAAAGAAAAAATACGTGGATAAAAGTTACAGTGCAGTTTAAGATATGAATAGTTCAATTAAAAGCAGCGGCAAAAAGAAAAGTCTTCAGCCTGGATTTAAAAGTAGTCAGAGTTGCAGCGGACCTGCAGGTTTCTGGGAGTTTGTTCCAGATATTTGGAGCATAATAACTGAACGCTGCTTCTCCATGTTTAGTTCTGACTCTGGGGACAGAAAGCTGACCAGTCCCTGAAGACCTGAGAGATCTGGATGGTTCATAATTTAGCAGGAGGTCAGGAATGTATTTTGGGCCTAAACCATTCAAAGCTTTATAAACCAGCAGCAGTATTTTGAAATCAATTCTTTGACACACAGGAAGGCAGTGTAAAGACTTCAGAACAGGAGTGATCCACTTTCTTAGTGTTAGTGAGGACTCGAGCAGCGGTGTTCTGAATCAGCTGCAGCTTTCTAATATATTTTTTAGTGAGACCTGTGAAGACACCATTACAGTAGTCCAGTCTACTGAAGATAAACGCATGGACAAGCTTTTCCAAATCCTGGTGTGACATCAGTCTTTTAAATTAATCCCATATATATTCTTAAGGTGATAGTAAGCTGATTTAGTAACTGTTTTAATATGACTGTTGAAACTCAGGTCAGAGTCAATGACTACACCTAGATTTCTGGCTTTATCTGTTGTTTGAACATTGCAGACTGAAGCTCAGAGCTAACTTTTATACATTCTGCCTTGGCTCCAAAAACCATTACCTCAGTTTTATCTTTGTTTAATTGGAGAAAGTTCTGACACATCCAGTCATTGATTTGTTCAATGCACTTACTCAGTGTTTGAATTGAAAGAGGCAAGCACATGTTTTAAAAAATGTCTGTACACACATCCATGGTAAAAAAATAAAGTAGCAGCATTATAAAACAGTCTTTGAACACAACAGTAGTAAAGTAAAAGCCAGTAATCAAAATAATAAATTGCTACTAACTCTTAATTTAAGATGATGTATTGGTGTCAGTATGCGCTCATTACACTTGAGTACATTTTCAGTCAAATAGTTCAACAGTGATGTCTTTCTTTGGTGTCTTATTCATCCCATTGTGTCTCATATGTGGCAGCACATGGACAATACACTTTCATATCAGTACGTTACCTAACATGCGAAATAATGACCCACATGTCAAGGAAGAACTCTGCTACAAGATTTCATTAACTAAAAAAGCAGGTGGGCTAAAAATAACACCTTACCATGAATAATGTAAGCCATGTGATACATTAAGCATCACAGTTATAACAGCAAGGCTATGAGAACTCTGGAAATATATAGAATACCATATATGATCAGCAGTAAAGCTTACCTGTTACACTGCTGATGGCTTTGAATGAGAGATCCACTGGAGGGCTATACATGTTCAAGTCTGAAAAACAGCAAACTGTTCATATGAAACTATTGAATATGACATCTGAACTTCCATAAACCTGTTTACAGATTCAAATATAAACATATGGGTACAAAATTACAAAAATTGTGTTTCCTAGCAACTGTTTTCCTTATGGCACTTTAATTAAAATCTTTAAAAATAAATTGTTATCAGAACGGCAGAAATTCGGCTCAAGTTTAAAACGCTATCTAAAAAAATACCTCAAATCCTTATTGATCCTAATTACAAACATGCATTCTCCATCTCTATTCAACTCTTTAAAACGTCATTAAGCTCAAGTAAGATTTTAATACAATGACTGCAGTACTTCACTGTGTTGTTATTCACACAGTAAAATCTCTCACAGTCAAAAAGGTATCGTTTAAAAGAAAAAAGAAACACTTATCATTGGAACAAGTATGAAACTGTGGCATACATAACAATAATATTTGGTAACTTCATCATTAAACCCACAGTCAGGTTTGTCAATGATTCAGAGCCGGAACTGAGAAGTTATGTGCTTGAAAACGGTGAAGTAAACACACATTCGGGAAGGAGTATTCCTCTAAAGACCTCAAAGACATTCAAACCCAGTTACAACCTCAGGCCTTTGAGCATGTTCACCTTCCTCTGACTGCTTTAGCTTCCTCATGCGATCAAACTCAGGTGAAGATCACTGGTATGTCAACAACATCCTTAAGACTGAATGTCAATATGTCTCTATGTTGTACAGTGGAGCTAACCTCGTGGGCCCTTACCTGGTCTGTGTGCCCCTGAACTGGGCAAGCAGATTTAAGACACAAAATAACAGAACATGTGTTTGAGAGGGCAAACAGAGGACAAGTATACAAAGAGGGGCTGAAGAGGAGAGGAGTTGATGGAAAATAACATTCATCCAATGGAGTATCTCCTCACCTTTCACTCAATCAAGATGCCAGTGTGTGTGTGTTTGTGTTTGTGTAGCTTCAATAATAGCATTTGATCCTTCAATGAGATGTAGAAAGAACATGCACACGCACGCTGAGTCCGAGTCAAGGACGCAGACAAAGACGGACAGAGACACTGGCTGGAATCAGTGTGTTTGTGACTACGGGTGTCAGACTGTGTGAAGTAGGAGTGTGAGGAGGTTTTAAAGTGGGTATGCATGCTTTGTACTGTAAGCTTCTTTACAGCTATTTTCTGTAATCAAATTATGTAGGAGTTCTGTAGGGGTTCATTCAGGAGTATGTGTGTATCTTTCTCTTGGATGTCTCCTCATAGATGAAAATCAGGGTCACTTTAGTTGAATTAAATATGAAAAACAAGTCCCAGTATTCCTAAAAATTCAGGCTCATGACCAGAGCAGATGGAAGGTCTCGACTCAGCGGTGGCTCTCTCTGTGTAACTGCCATCTTCATGCCCTTGAGTAATGTGCTTATCTGACATTTACTACACCAGCAAACAGAATGACACTGAAGAAGCTCAAAGGTGTGAATGTGAACGGCAACAGTGTTTAAAAAAAACTCTTACCTTAACAGGATATTTAACTATGGAAATTGAATATGCATATCGACACTAAAGGGTGTACTGTAGGCTTTAAGATAATCAGCATATGACATTTGAAAGAGAAAAAAATACTGCTAGAGGCGAAAGATGAACAGCCACGGGCAAGATCTGCAGTCAGAAAAATGAAGGGCTACAGAGTTGGTGCCACACACACACACACACACACACACACACACACACACACACACACACACACACACACACACACACACACACACACACACACACACACACACACACACACACACACACACACACACACACACACACACACACACACACACACACACACACACACACACACACACACACACACACACTTCCATGTATTGAGTGGGTTTTAACCAGCAATGTTAAAGGTTCACGACTGTCTGTGAGACATTTGCCCCGAAATATTGTCTTTTACTGTATCTTGCAATTTGAATTGTAAATGGTGAATTGATTAAAATCCAGATAAATAAAACATGTTTTCTAACTCTTATGAACAAAATCCAGGGTTTTGCAGAAATGTCCAACGATATAATGAGAAAAAAATGCTCTTGGTTTCGGCACTGGTGGTCATAAATGTTGAGTTTGAAATGTCAGAGCAATACGGCAGCTGTCAGAAAAGTTGTGATTCTTCTAAACTTTTTTTTGGTTATGTTATTAATCACTTTAGAAGGGGTAGCCTTGGCCCTTTAGTAATAGAATTGATTTTTCTTGCATTTTTGATAATGAGTGCTTTGACCTGAGCAAACAGAGGTTTAAGACAGGCGCTACATGCATGCAATCTGCGAAAACACATCAACAAACACCTCCTTTCATTGTGTAGCTGCATTTTCTTGCAGCTACACAATAACCAAATGCATTTCTATAGAAACACAACAACACAGGCCAATCTGTGCTTCAACTGCAAACAAGTGCTGTAGTTTTCACGCTCGTCTTTTCCTCTCCAAATGTGAGACAAAATGTATTCCGTACGTTAAAAAATGTATGATATCAATTGTGTCTGTCTGCCTGTGGCGTTCCCATTCAGCTAAAACAATAAGTGATAAACAAAACCATGTCTTCCGCAGCATCCACACAGCGGCGTGCGTTGAAGCTTGTCGGTGGGCGTGTCTGAAACTCGACCAACAACCAATCACAAGAATCTCCGGCCCCGGACACACAAGCACGCCGTTTGATTGGCTAGAGCTTGTACTGGCATGTGATTTGATTGGCTGACGCTTCCGTCGAAGCTTCTAAAGTTGAACATTGCTCAACTTTTGAAGCGAAGAGACGCTCCCACAATGCAGTTCGGCTAAGCGTGACGTCACCCCATTCAAAGTGAATGGGCAGAAGCGTTGAAGCTTCAACGCACGCCACCGTGTGGACGGGTGATTTTCTAATGATCTTGTACAGACAGCACTTTAAGACAGGAGCTCTCTCACAGTTATTCTAACCAGACGATAGTATCTTTAATTTCAGCTTCATTTCATGACTTCTTCCTTTTCACTAAATTACATGTTTACCCAGTTAGAATTACAGCTACTGCTAGAAACACAATTACATCTCTTTCTGCATGGATCTCTCCCTGTGTGTTTGCTCAATGTGTATATTGGTAGGATAAATCACTTGCTTTTCGATTCAAACAACCTGACACTGAACCCTGACATTCACTGATGACATTTAAGATGTTCTGATCTCCAACTCCATCGCGACTGTGGCACTTATATTTTATAGACCTGATCGGAGGTTTGCAGAGTTGTATAATATTATTGTTCTGGGGAAACAACATGGTAAGAAATGCATTATTCTGCTATAGGGTCCAAAGTAAGATTACTACATCTAATGGTGCATTTTCCATAAGTATCCTCATGTGGCTGCATTCATTGTCCCTTCAGCCAAAGAGGTACAAACATACTCGAGCATAGCAGATTCATGACACAGACAAAATATTTTCTTTCTTTCACAGAAAATGTGAACAAATATGGAAAAGGGGAAACAGTGTCCAGCGTAAGAGGCTGCTTTTCTTATCTCTACATCCCCAGGCACATATAGTTAGCAGAGAGCTTGTTGCAGGTTAAATATCCATGATCCTTTCAATAGCATTGATATCAAGCCCTTGCCAGTTATGTTCCTGCACGTAATTAAAAAGGCTCATGCCCTCTAGGAAACTCAGTGTGGCCCGAGGGGACAAGGAAACAAACTGCAACACACAATACACACACCAAAGCCTGACCACTGCCTAAAGCCACATTTGTTGTGTTGCCCAAAGAAAGATAGAGGCAATCATTTTGACCATTACCACTAAACAAACAACCAGAAATCTCCCAGTTCTTTCCCTCATCTAGCCTCTTTTACTTCACTACATAATGATCCTTTCCATGTTTTTAATGCCATTCCTTCTCTGTCGCTTTCTTACCAATCTGTCCTTCTCGTCCAATAATAAAGATGTGTGTCCTCGTCTCTCAGGACTCGAATGGCACTAGAAATTCAATTAAATTCAATTTATTTATATAGCCCAAAATCACAATTCCTATTTTTTCTCAGAGTGCTTCACAAGTCAACAAACACAATTGGCAATGTGAAACAATGTAAAAATAACAAACGTATCTTACAAGATCAATGTGAAAATACCAATTTAAAAAGAAACATAACACAATGACACAAATACAGTTAGAGTACAATAAATACAATTTCATAAAACGAAGGGTCCATGAGGATGTATAAAAGGGGGTTTAAAAACAGTCTTAACTGTACGCTGTACTAAAAAGGAAAGTCTTTAACCTTCTCTTAAATGTGTGGACACTGTCTGCCTCCCTAACGGCCCGTCCACACAGCGGCGTGCGTTGACGCTTCACCATTCACTTTGAATGGGGTGACGTCTCTTTTCGCCGAGGAACGGGGCTTGGTAGCCGAAAAGCTCTAGCACCTGACCTTTTTTTGTGGACTCTGGGAACCACCAACAGACCTGCACTCTGGGATCTTAATGCCCTAGAGGGGCAATAGGAGATTAAAAGATCCTGTAGGTAGGATGGTCCCTGACCATTTAGCGCTTTGTATGTGAGTAAAAGTATTTTAAAATCAATCCTGGACTTAACTGGTAGCCACTGCAATGCTGCTAAAACAGGAGTGATGTGGTCCATCTTCTTTGTTCCTGTTGAAACCCGTGCTGCAGCATTTCGTATGAATTGAAGGGTCTTTAATGATGAGTTTGGAGAGCCTGATAAAAGGGAATTGCAATAATCCAGCCTGGAGGTGATAAAAGCATGGATTAGTGTTTCTGCATTGTTGTGATTTAGGGTGTGCCTGATTGTTGCAATATTCCGTAGATGGAAGTATGCAGTCCTTGAAATTTGCTTTATATGGGATTTAAAAGACAAATCCTCATCAAAAATAACACCAACATTTTTTACAGTGGTGCTGGAGGTTAAGGTAATGCCACCCAAAGAAATGTTGTTGTTGGACAGTTTGTTCCGAAGGTGCCAAATATAATGACTTCTGTTTTGTTGGAGTCTAATAATAACTAGAGAATGCAATTCCTGAAGAAATTGCTAGTGGGAATGCTTTATGCTGAAATATAATGTGTAAGAAGAAAGTGAATAATCAGGAATATTTGGATGACTGAATGGTTTCCATATGAATGAATATTAAGTTAAAAAGTAGCATGAAACTCCAAATGTATAAATAATGTTAAAGATTTAAGGCTTTGAATGTAGAATGTTATTCGTAGGAAAAGTTGAAAATGCAAAAATAACTAACTAAAAATAACAAATTTTATTTCAAAAACCAGAACATGGGGGAAATAAAAACTATAATAAAATAGGGATGTCCCGATCACCTTTTTTATGCGCCCCGATCCGATTCCGATCATTTGGATTTGACAATTTGCCGAACCGATCTTTCCCGATCTCAGATCTTTATGCAATGCATTAAGAGGAGAAAAAAAAAAAGCATTCAAGTTGTCCTTAAGGTTAGTGTTTTAATTTAAATGATATTCTATCCAACATGGAGTATAGCTTTCTTTTTTCATAGCACCCATGTTGGATCAGTTCAGTTGTGCAGAATTGGGACAAAAAAAATAAAGCTATCAAATACTCGTAGCTACAGCTACAATCTAGCACTGCGCCCTGCCCACCTGTGCCAGAATTTGCGAAAAATAAGCAACCAAGGCTATGAACAACAAGCCGCCCAAAAGAAGCAACAACATAGCAGAGTTGTCCGTAATGTTGAAACCCAAACTAAGGGCCTCAAGCGACTGACTTTAAGAAGTTGACAGACGGTCATGTTTA